GAGAGAGAGAGAGAGAGAGAGAGAGAGAGAGAGAGCGCTCTGGGAAGCAGAAGGGGGGCTTCTGGCCTTTGTCCTTGGAGAATGGTCGGAAAGACAAACTTGCCCCAGAAACCAGAGGGAGGCTGCTGAAGGCAGGGGGCTGGCTCTCAAAGGGAGGAAGCCAGCTGCAGACCAAAGGCTCTGAACTAACTTCGGGTTTAGGATTTGAGTCATGCTTTTGTTTTGTTGGCTTCTGTTTTGTGACAGAGTTTCTCTGTGTAGCGATCCTGGCTGTCCTGGTACTGACTTTGTAGACCAGGCTGGTACCCGAGATCCTCTTGGGCCTGCCTCCCTAGTGCTGGGATTAAAAGTGTGTGTCACCACGCTGGCTGTAGGATTTGAGTCGTACTTCATAGATTGAGTGTAGTTTGGCTCATATAGGGACAAGGAATTTTGTTTCGTTCTTGTTTGGTGTAAGGTATTTTGTACCTGAGGAATCTGTGTGTCCTGGCTGGGCACCTTTGGTCCCTGAAGGCTGCAGTCTGTGAGTGAAGCAGATTGCGTGTGGTTGGGGTTATCAGAGAAGAGGTTGATAAAGAGTCCGCCAGGGCAGTGAAGTCGGCGGCTCCTAAAGGCTGGCTTGAGGATCTGAGAGTCTGTTGGTTTTGCACTAGCCATGAGGACTGGCCAGGTTCTGTTTCATTAGCGTTGTCAGTATAGACAGAGTGGTTTCCGAGCGTGAGTTAAGTTTGTTAGTTTTTATATAAGTCAGAGAAAGGTGATTTGCCCTGAAATGCTGGACCTTGACCCCAGAGCCTGTAGCTTGCTGAGCACACATTCTGAATTCATACCTGGAGAGAGCAAGGCAGCAGAAGGGGAACTAAAAAAACTCAACTAGCCTACCACAGGGGCTCTGGATTTTGCTTATTTTGGAATAGCCTCTTGCTATGTAGCTTAGGCTGGCCCTAACTTGAAAGCCTCCTGACTCGGTCTCTTCAAGTACTAGGATTATAGGCGTATGGCCCTGTACTTGACTTGAGATAATGTGTTTCAAAAGAGAAAGTCAATTGTATACTAGGAAAGACTCATTTACTTAAAATTTTTTAAAAATTATATTATAGTTTATTTACTGTCTTTGTGTGTGTATGTTGTGGTGTGTGTGTGTGTGTGTGTGTGTGTGTGTATGTTTGACCACATATGGAGATTAGAGGACCATTTTCCGAAGTCTTTTTTGTCCTACCATGTGGGCCCTAGGTTCTGAACTTGGGTTCTCAGGTTTGACGGAAAGCCTCTTTACCCACTACGCCATCTTGCGTACTCAAGATGCATCTCTTTTGGGTTTGGCAGTTTATGCCTATAGTCCAGCACTCTGAGATCAGGGATAGGAAGATCCCTGAAAGTGCAAAGCCATCCTGGTCTGCGCAGCTCAGGTTAGGAGGAACTTGGTTTGTTTTGATGTTTTGAGACAGGGTTTCTCTGTGTAGCTTTGGAGCCTGTCCTGGAATTTGCTCTGTAGATCAGGCTGGCCTTGAACTCATGGAGATCCACCTGCCTCTGCCTCCTGAGTGCTGGGATTAAAGGTGTGCACAACCACCACCAAGTTTAGGATAAATTGTATGCGAGCCATCCCAGTTAAATGTTTTCTTTATGAGAGTTGCCATGGTCATGGTGTCTCTTCACAGCAATAGAAAACCCTAAGACACCTGCTCAGTTGCCTAAGTTCTTCATGGGGACGTGGACATCATTTACTTCTGCTTGCTTGTCATCTGTGGTGTGACACTCGTCAGAAGTGTGTTATGGATGGCAGTCCCTGTATGTTCCCCAATCTAAGATACCTAGAGCTGCCCAGCGTTTGTCACGGCCGTTCTCAGTGAAGTCTTCCCTTCTTGGGTTCCGTTCACTGGTAAGAATGAGTTTCCAGGGTCACACCGTGTACTTGACTGATTCTTCCTTTAATGCATTTTTCATCCATTTTAGAGTCTCCTGCTTTGAGAAATTGGGCTGTGATGGACTGAGATTTGAATCTGAAAAGATTTTATGTAGTAGTGAGGATGTGGCCTGTGTTGTGCCTTACTCTAAGCTCTCTCTCTCTCTCTCTCTCTCTCTCTCTCTCTCTCTGTGTGTGTGTGTGTGTGTGTGTGTGTGTGTGTGTAGAGGGTTAGGTGGCACTGGCAGAGGTCAGAGGTCAATCTCTGTATTTCTTCTGCTGTCCTGTCTCTTTCCCTCCCATCCTCCCTCTTTCCCTCCTTTGTTTCTTTCTTTCTTGGGAGTGGAGGAGAAGGCCTCTCATTGGCTTGTAACTCAATAATTAAACTAGGAGTGAGCCCCAGGGATCCATTTGTCTTTGCCTGCCCCATGCTGGCTGTGATTATAAGCTCAGGGCTTGTGGAGATGGAGCGCCTGCTTATGTCAGCAAGCATTATATTGACGAAGCTGTGCTCCCAGCCCTTCACTTTGGGCCTTTGAAAGACGGAGTCTCATTAATGGCCACCTTTCCTACACTGTGAGTCTCTCCTGTAATCTTGCCATTTACTCTGTGCCATTCCTCTGGGCGGGGCGGGGGGGGGGAACTAATGCAGCAGGGACTGTCACAGACTGAGAGTGACCCAGAATGAGGCTTTCTAGGACTGCTTCTTCTAGTCCAGATCGTGAAAGCTTGCTTCACAAAGGAGGCGGAATTAGCATTGATTTCTTTAATTTTTTTAAAAATTTATTTATTTATTTATTTATTTATTATGTATACAATATCCTGTGTGGGCCTGAAGGCCAGAAGAGGGCAGCAGACCTCATTACAGATGGTTGTGAGCCACCATGTGGTTGCTGGGAATTGAACTCAGGACCTTTGGAAGAGCAGGCAACACTCTTAACCACCGAGCCATCTCTCCAGCCCCCTTAAATTTTTTTAAATGACAGGTTTTTTGGTCTTTTTTTTTTTTTTTTTTTTTTTTGTATAAGATGTTCTTTTGGCCGGTTGACTAAAACATTGATTCTTTTCATCACTGCGTGAAGTTCAGGATGGACATAATATTTAGAGACAAGCTAACCACCTTGCTCCAACCATGTGCCACTTGACAACAGGACAATCACCTGTTTGTCTTGTTTGATTGTCTCCTTGTGTAGACGTCATGGGATAACTCACACAACTGATATGGCTGTAAGCCATCTGGGAATCTAATCTGTCTGGACTTTCAGTGTTGACCGAAGTGTGCGTATGTGCCCCGTGGCTGTCTTAGCAGTTCTAAAGGAAAAGTCTCTATCTGGTCAAACAGGGCAGCAGTGATTGCTCGGGCAGCTGGGAAAGGTTGATTCAGAATCCATTTACTAGAAAATGGGGGAGGGGTTGGAAGGAGGGCTGTCTCAGAAGTAGGACACACCGCCTGCCAGGTTCTCAATAAAAAAAAAAAAAAAGAGCTAACTTCCTCAGGTTTGTGTGTTAGGTGTGTGTGTGTGTGTGTGTGTGTGTGTGTGTGTGTGTGTGGTCCATTAATCCACTTTTCTTGCTTCTGGGGGAAGCCAGTGCCAAGATGAAACCTTAGTTTCCAGGCTCACCTCATACTAGAGCAGTTATTAAAGTTTCTCAGGTACCCAGAATTTCATTCAGTACATTTCCCCGAGTGGCGGGGCCTTGTAAACAGAGCATGGATTGCAGGCAAAGGAGTTGTTTTACTAAGGACCTTTGTGTGCAGCAGGAGAGTTCCCATTGAGTGTGGTCTCAGCTATCGGGATGCCTTTCAGAAACAGAATAGTTGAGACCCGGAATGAGGGTGTGTATATGTGGTTGCCAAGGTGGGGCTGCAGCAGGGGCCAGAGTGTCCGTGCATGTAGACATCCCTGCATGCAGGTATGCATGCCATGAGCCTTTGTGAAATATCCATACACAGCAAGAAAGCTGCTTGAGCCCAGGTGTAAGCAAGACAGGTGAAGGTGCGCTGGCTGTTGATGGGGCCTGTGGTCCGTAAAGAGCAAACACCTCATAGTCTGCCACACTTGTTCCTCCTATAGCTTTTGAGTGCTGGGATTAAAGATCTATGTCACACCTGACTTTCTTTCTTCTTATATATACATTTTCATTGTACTTTTTTTTATTTTTTGAGGTACTGGAAATCAAATCCAGGGCTTTTCCACATGACTGTCAAACTCTCTCCCACTGAGCTACATCCCTCACTCTAACTGCTTTCATTGTTGTCATTCTTTTGAGAGAATGTCTCACCATGTGTAGCTATGTAGCCCTGAGTGACCTAGAATTCATGATGTAGCCCACACTGGCCTTGATCTTGTGATGGTTCTGCCTGTGCCTCGTGAAGCCTGGTGTTACAGGTGTTTATCATCATTATTGTTGGTGACTGCATCTTAGTGTGTATTTATTTATTTCCTTATTTATTTGTTTGTTTGTTTGAGATACAGTCTCCTTGTGTAGTCCTGGTTGGCCTGGCACTTGGTATATATAGACTAGTCTGGCTTTGAACTCACAGAGATCTGCCTCCTGAATGCTGGAATTAAAGGCATGCCATGATATCCAACTATTACTGCATTTGAAAAAGTAATGTACTTGATTTTTCTCAGTTTCAGTCTTTCATTTGTAAAGGTCTATTGTGTATCACATCTTGAGGAATATCTAAAATATTGTATGTAAAGTGCTAAGTATTTAATAGATATTAAATAAGCTAGATACTTAGTAGGTGTTAAATAAACTAGATACTTAGTAGGTGTTAAATAAACTAGATAGTTAGTAGGTGTTAAATAAACTAGATACTTAGTAGCTGTTAAATAAATGGTAGGTCTTTATGCTCTCATTTTGATTCCCAATGAAACTTGACTCTTCCTGAGTGGAGCTATGCTCTTCTGACCTAAAGATGGGGAA